TTTAGTGAAGGCTCCACTGTATATAAAATAACAATAACATTACACTTACCTTTATTGAAGACTTCTGGGTGGATGGAAGATGGGAGAAGGGGAGAGGATGAAGGCACACTATTGTTTGGAAGGGGAATCCCCTTCCGTAAAGACTTCAGGTACCAAGTCCTTTTCTGGGGTTACTTCCCTTCTTTGTTTTTTAATACCACTGGGACCAGCTTGAGAGAGACTGGACCCCTGTCACACAAAATATCTGTCCAGAGAGCTCTGTTTCTGGTGTTTCTTTAAAACTTCCCTAAGATGGGACACAACATTGTCACTGTACATGTTGCCAACATGGCCTGCAACAGCTTTGTCAGGGTGAAGTTCATCCATAAATGTTTGCACCTTAGTCCACTTTACCCAAATGTCCTTAATCTTTGAAGAAGGCACCGTCCTCCATCTCCCTTCGTCCTCCTCTGAAGCAATTTCCTGAGCTGTGGTTTGTTGCTGTTGCAGATGAAGCTCTTGCAGCTCTGTAGTGGTTAGCTCTTCATTGTGGTCCTCCACCAGCTCTTCCACATCCTCAAAACTCACATCTAACCCCATGGAATTCCCCAATGCCATAATACTTTCCACAACTGCCATATGCTCCTCAGGGTCAGTCCCAAACCTTTCAAAATCCCTCTCTTGTACACATTCTGGCCACAATTTTCTCCAAGCAGAGTTCAAAGACACTTCCTCCCAAGCCTTACCCGATTGTAATGATACCAAAAGAACAAAATTTGATGGAAAACTGACAGAATTACGCTCTCGTGAAGTTAGCGACCTCAGCGATATTTACGAATCGGTGATTTTGGCCACTTTGAGCCCTATTTTCGACCAAACTCATAGCTATTTCTTTAGAACTCCATTTTGTTTATCGATTGAGTACAAGAAATTGCCCATTTACTGATTTCAACTACCCAATAACGTGGTCAGAAATTTGTAATTTGGCCAATTTCACAAAAATTAAAAAATATGACTATTTCAAAATAGGTTCAGAATGAACAATGCAGACATTCCTGGCCCTAAAATAACATTTTTCTATGTTCATCAATCACATCTCCAGGCCCCTCTGACATTACTCTTGCTTTCTATTTTGAATTTTTATTCAAACAAAAAATACAAGATGTACTGTTATGCAGACTACCGCAATATTGTAATAATTGTATAAATAATGTCAACCCATTCATGACTGTATATTAGAATGGCTACTTGGACATTTATTGGAAAATGACATCATTTGTTTACTTTTGAACATAGGCAAAAATCAAACATTTCCCCTAATTTGAGCTCCATTTCAAGGTTCTTTTCATAGTAAAACCAATCAAAATCACCTCTATTTCTATAATATGTTTTCCATTCTATGAAATGAGACCAAGAAAATGAGAATACAACCATAAATACTATATGAAAATAGACCACAAATTCGGCATTTTAATTAAAAAAAAAAAAGGTCGGAGTTTTTTTTTCTCATTATGCACTGCGTGCTGCACAATCTTTTTTATATGGTGCACACTGACCACACAGACCCATTCTCTTACCTGTGGGCCTACCAGCTTTCTCCTGCTTGATTTCAAGCCACTAGAATTTATGACTACAGTGGACCCCCGGTTCGCGAAGTCATCGGTAACCGATAAATCCGGTATTCGAAGCATTATATCGCAAAAAATTTGCCTCGGTTCCCATTACAAAACCCGGTACGCGATACAATTCGTACGAGACGTGTCCACATGTGGCCTGAACTGCCCCGTGTGTGCCAGTGTTTACAAGCCAGCCAGTGTGCGTGCATCTAAGGATACATTCGGCACAATCCATATTATCCATATTATAACTGTTTTTGGTGCTTGTTTCTGCAAATAAGTCACCATGGGCCCCAAGAAAGCTTCTAGTGCCAACCCATCGAGACCAAGGGTGCTAATGACTATTGAAATGACGAAAGAGATAATTGCAAAGTATACAAGTGGAGTGCGTGTGTCGGACCTGGCCAAGTTGTATAGTAAATCCCAATCAACCATCTCTACTATAGTGACCAGGAAAACGGCAATCAAGGAAGCTGTTCTTGCAAAAGGTGCAACTGTGATTACAAAACAGTGATCGCAAGTGTTAGAAAATGTTGAGAGACTGTTATTGGTGGGGATAAATGAAAAACAGATAGTTGGAGATAGCATCTCTCAAGCGATCATAAGTGAAAAGGCTAGGCAGTTGCATGAGGATTTAATTAGAAAAATGCCTGCAACTAGTGGCGATGTGAGTGAATTTAAGGCCAGCAAAGGTTGGCTTGAAAGATTTAAGAATTGTAGTGGCATACATAGTGTGATTAGGGATGGTGAGGCTGCCAGTTCAGACCAAAAAGCAGCTGAAAAATATGTGCATGAACTCAAGGAGTACATAGAGGCTGAAGGACTGAAACCTGAACAAGTGTTTAATTGTGATGAAACAGGCCTGTTTTGGAAGAAATTGCCATGCAGGATTTACATTACTCAGGAGGGAAAGGCACTCCCAGGACATAAGACTATGAAAGACAGGCTTACTCTGTTGATGTGTGCCAGTGCTAGTGGTGATTGCAAAGTGAAACCTTTATTGGTGTATCACTCTGAAACTCCCAGAGCATTCAGGCAAAAGAATATCCTCAAGGCTAATTTGTGTGTGCTGTGGAGGGCAAACACTAAGGCATGGGTCACTAGGGACTTTTTCTATGACTGGTTACACCATGCATTTGCCCCCACTGTGAAAAATTACCTAATTGAAAAGAAATTAGATCTTAAGTGCCTCCTGGTGTTAGACAATGCCCCTGGTCATCCTACAGACTTGGCAGAGTGACTGTGGGGACATGAGCTTCATTAAGGTCAAGTTTTTGCTTCCTAATACCACTCCTCTCCTGCAGCCCATGGACCAGCAGGTCATTTCCAACTTCAAGAAACTGAATACAAAAGTTATGTTTGAAAGGTGCTTTGAAGTGACCACAGACACTCTATTGACTCGAAAGGAGTTCTGGAAGGATCACTTTAATATCCTCAATTGTGTAAACCTTATAGGTAAGGCTTGGGAGGGAGTGACTAAGAGGACCTCGAACTCTGCTTGGAAGAAACTGTGGCCAGAATGTGTAGACAAAAGGGATTTTGAAGGGTTTGAGGCTAATCCTGGGAATCCTATGCCAGTTGAGGAATCCATTGTGGCATTGGGAAAGTCCTTGGGGTTGGAGGTTAGTGGGGAGGATGTGGAAGAGTTGGTGGAGGAGGACAATGATGAACTAACCACTGATGAGCTGCTAGATCACCTTCAACAGCAAGAGGCCAGACCTGAGGAAACTGCTTCGGAGGAGGGGATAGAGAAATTGACGAAGTTGCCTACTTCAAAGATTAAGGAAATGTGTGCAAAGTGGCTTGAAGTGCAAACCATTTTTGATGAAAATCCCCCTGACACAGCTACTGCAAGCTGTGTTGGCAACCTGTACACTGACATGTTGTGAACCACTTTAGGAAAGTCATAAAGGAACGAGAGGTACAGGCCTCTATGGACAGATATGTTGTGCGGCAGAAGTCCAGTGACTCTCAAGCTGGTCCTAGTGGCATTAAAAGAAGAAGGGAAGTAACCCCAGAAAAGGACTTGCTACCTCAAGTCCTAATGGAGGGGGATTCCCTTTCTAAACATTAAAAACTTCGACACTCTCCCCTCCTCCCATCCCATCAATCATCACCAGATCTTCATTAAAGGTAAGTGTCAATTATTCTATTGTGATTATTCTATTGTTATTATTGTTACTGTAATTATTCTATTGCATTAAACTTAATATTTCATGTGGTAAAAGTTTTTTTTTCATACTTTTGGGTGTCTTGCACGGATTAATTTGATTTCCATTATTTCTTATGGGGAAAATTGATTTGCTTTCCGATAATTTTGCTTTACAATGAGCTCTCAGGAACGGATTAATAACGTGAACCGGGGGTCCACTGTATATATACATAAAAAACGGTGGCTCGTAAGACGTATACACACAACCAAAACAGTCAAAGGGTTAAGTGAGCAATATAGCTAAGCCTATAAAATGCATATACAGTACACACATTACTTACCATAAAATATTTTCATCCTTAGCTTATACTGAGTGACAAATATATTTATTGTAAGAGGTCTGAATAAATGAAGAACTGAAAACTGCTAAATGAGAGAAACACTGTAAAGTGAAGTGCTGCAAAGCAGGGTCTGCCTGTATAATACTGCCAAGAGTACAGATGTTGTTATGACTAACAGGAAGGAGCAAGTGGTCTGTAATGGCAACTGTGGTGGATAGAAACTGCTTAGCTGTGATAGTAACAATAATGAACTATTCTGCAACATAATTTTTCCAAATTGACTGACCCAGAAAATTTTGTTTGGTATTTCCAAAGTTCATTTAGGAGGTCCATTATATGAAGGGTTTACTGTACTTCATTTGATCAAACTACAGTGTGGGATATACTGTATCCTGCCCTATGTGTACTTCTGAAAGTGTGCTAGCTCTACCTATGAAGGAAGCTGAAGGCTCCCAATTTATGCAATTACTTTCAGTAATTTCTAGTAAGGTATGGATTTCATTTTTGTAGTGATTATTTTCCAACTGTCTAATACTTTTTCCTCACTTCCCGACTTGTCATGTGCATTAAGGCTATATTTAACATATTTTTCTTTCTGGATGCAAGAGGAAATGACTGTATTCCTTTAAATGTTTCAAGTGATAGTGAAAGATTTTTAGTTATGGAAATGGCTTGAGAAAAAATACATGACTATAATCATGAATTGCAATTCTCTTACAAGACAGTTTCAGAGGTAACAAGAAGGCATGAACACAGTAACAGCATTTACAAATTTACCTAAAAATCAGCCTAATTACTTCTTGAACATTCTATACACAATATCCTAATAAAAAATAATAATTATACTACTACTGATAATCTAGTCACAATTTCCATGTGAAAAATAAAATACTAAATTCTCATGATACCTACCATATTGTTTAACATCTTATTTTGGCTTCGTACTTCAGTTCCTATGTCAATTGTCAACTGCAAAGAGAAACATATTTCTATTCAGATATATTCATTTCACCATTCTTTAAATATAAAGTACAGTTAAACTTGGAGTGTCAGCAGAAAGAAGCTCAGGTAAGCAAATGCACTGTTAACTTCTTAATAAAGATACAGTGCAATTATTAAAAAAATATTAGTTTTAGTATATTCAATTAATGAATAAAAGAGTACATAACATAAAAAATATTGAACTTAACAAATATTTTAACCCTTTCACTGTCGGTCCCATAATACTACGACTTGCAAGCCAGTGTTGGTCCCATAATACCAAGCCAAAATTCTAGCAGCTTCCAATCTTGTGGGAGAAAGCTGGTAGGCCTACATATGAGAGAATGGGTCTGAGTGGTCAGCGTGTGCAGTATAAAAAAAAAAAATTCTGCAGCACGCAGTGCATAAAAAAAAAAAAAACCCTCTATTTCTGGTTCAAAACAGCGATTTTGCGGTGTATTTCATATGGTATTTATGGTTGCATTCTCATTTTCTTGGTCTTATTTGATAGAATGGAAGATATATTACAGAAAAAGAGAGGATTTTCAATGGTTCACAGACTAAAAGTAGCTTGAAATTGAGCTCAAATTAGCAGAAATGTTTGATTTTTGCCGATGTTCAGGAGTAAATAAATCACGTCATGTGATTTATTTACTCCTGAACTGGTGGGTCAAATATGCTTTCACAAATGTGCTGACATTATTTATACCATTTTTACAATAATGCAGTAGTCTGCATAACAGTAAATCTGTTTTTTGTATGAATAAAAATTCAAAATGGACAGCAAGTGTAATATAAGAGGGGCCTAGAGACATGACTAATGAACAGAGAAAATTTTATTTTAGTGCTAGGAATGTTTGCACTGTTAATTATAGACCCTATTTTGAAACTGGTCTTCCTTGAACCTTGAATTGTGTATGAAATTGGCCAAATTACCAATTTCTGATCACTTTATTGGGTAGCTGAAATCGGTAAATGGACAGTTTCTTGTACTCAATCGACAGAACAAAAGGAGTTCTAGCAAACTAGCTACGAGTTTGGTCAACTGGAGCATTACAAATGGCTGAAAATAGGGCTCAAAGTGGGAGAAATAGTCAATGTGTAAATATCGCCGAGACCGCTAACTTTGTAAGAATGTAATTCCATAGGTTTTCCATCAAATTTTGTACTTTTGGTTTTATTACCGTCAGGAAAAGATTCTCTATCATTTCATGAGAAAAAATATTTTTTTTTTTTTTTAAAATTCTTCAACCCTGAGAGCAAATTTGTGAGCAGGGGTCTCGACAGTGAAAGGGTTAAGGGTTTTGAAAAAAGGATCAGTAACTTTCCTGTAAAACTCTGACTTCTTTTGAAGGTTTAGCAGTACAGTAGGGCCCCACTTATACGGCAGGTTAGGTTCCAGGCTACCGCCGTAAAGTGGAACATCCTTTTTTTCCACTTATAAATGCATACAAACACAAGACAACAAGTTTACACTAACATATATTAAGTTAGCAGTAGAACCAGGCATCAAAAAACAATAAAAAAGTACAATACACACATAGTGCACTCATTACTTACCTTAAAATATTTATAGTCTTAATCTAGGGTGAGACGAGTAGTATTTACTGTAAGAAATCAAGTGTGGTATGTATGGTAGTTAGCTGGGCTACCATACCAGGCCAACCCACCCACACATATATTCTATGATATTTAAGCATCCCAGAGCGATAAAATATATACAGTTCACTCATTACTTACCTTAAAATATTTGTAGTCTTCATGTAGGGTCAGGAGTAAGTAAATGAGATAAAACGAATAAATTAGAGAGAAAGAATGAGTGCTTGAGAGAGGACAGGCGCAGAGTTATGTAAACAAACCAGGCGAAGGTAAGTTTTGTAAACAAACAAAGTGTACACGTCTGGTTTGTGTACAAGTTGTCTCTACATTGATACGACAGAATAAATAAAGAAGAACACTCCCATTCTCATGTAACATCATTTTGAGAAGAAATGACGCTCTGAGTGAAGGCAATGGAAATAAGTCACTCTGACTTTTTGGGTTATCCTAGGTTCTCTACACATATGTTGTTATGTATGATAATCTATGTAACTGTATTTGTGCATACCTGAATAAACTTACATACATACGAAAGGAATAATTTTCTACAGTTACCCCCAGTAACACATTTTCTCTTATGTTAGATTAGAGAAAATGTTATTCTTGCCATCACTTGTACAAGTTATCTGGCTACCACATCTCATATTTATGTTTGTTTATTCTATTGTAGGGTGTATTTATCATCTTTTTATGTTATGTATCGTGTTTATTATATAATTTTGAAAAAAATATCATGGATGGATTAATGAAAATGTGTATATTAACATAATATATGACATTTAATGAGACTCGGTGATTATTATTATTATTTCTAATATGGCGTCACTTGTGCAAGTCGTCTGCTACCACATCTCACATTTATGTTTATTTATTCTACTGTGGGGTGTATTTATCTTATTTATATGTTATGCATCATGTTTATTATATAATTTTGAAAAAATATCATAGATGGATTAATGAAAATGTGTATATTAACGTAATACACGGCATTTAAATGAGACTCGATGATTATCATCATTAATAATATGACGTCTGGAGACACAAGACACTCTTACTGATTTTAATGTGTACCTGCACGCCAGCACAGTGTACAAGTTTATTTAGGTACAGGTATACATAAGTATAATTATCAGAGTATATATAAAATATGAAAACTTTTAAAAATACTTGAAATTTTGGAGTTTCCAGACAAAATGGAGAGACTTAGTGCTTACAGATTTCACAGAGAATGTAAACAAACCGGGAGGGGCACGGTGACCGTATTAAAAAGTCAGGTGGGGGGAGCCGTATATCGAGTTTTGGTCATAATTTGAAATGACCGTATTAGCGGAATGCCGTAAAGTGAAACGCCGTAAAGCGGGGCCCTACTGTAATTATTTTACAACTGACAGAGGGGTTAACTGAACCTATTACAGGTCCACCATCACAAATCCGACATCATTGGGACCTGTAATGCGTCGGATTACTGAGTTTGCTGGATTACAGAGTGGTTAGGTTAGAATACACTTAACCCTTTCAGGGTCCAAGGCCCAAATCTGGAGTCACGCACCAGTGTCCAAGAATTTAAAAAAAAAAAAATTGTTATTTTTTCTTATGAAATCGTAGAGAATCTTTTTGTGAAGGTAATAAAACAAAAAGTACGAAATTTGGTGGAAAATTAACGAAATTATGCTCTCGCGAATTTTGATGTGTCAGCGATATTTACGAATCGGCGATTTTGCCGACTTTGACTCCCATTTTAGGCCAATTGCATTATTCCAATCAACCAAATTCTTAGCTATTTCACTAGTATTACTTCTATTCTATCGATTGAGCACAAGAAATCGTCAAGTCAACTGTTTCAACTACAAAATAAAGTGATCGGAAATTGTTAATTTGGCCAATTTAACACAAAGTTCAAAATATTCCAATTTCAAAATAGTGTCCAGAATGAACAATGTAGGCATTCCTGGCACTAAACTAACATTTCCTCTGTTCATTAGTTATGTTTTGAGGCTTTACAAATAAATTCCATTTTGATTTTTTATTCACATAATGAATTTTTATTCACACCAACAAATAGAAGATTTACTGTTATGCAATACTGTAATAATTGTATAAATATCATCACCATATATGTGAATGTATATTAGACCCACCAGCTGTCGTGTATTAGACGTGTGAGGTCGTTTGTTTACTCTTGAATATCGGCAAAAATTTAACATTTCTGCTACTTTGAGCTCAGTTTCAAGCCATTTCCAGTGCTAAAACCAATCAAAATCATCTCTATTTCTGTAATATGTCTTCCATTCTATCAAATGAGACCAAGAAATCGCAAATACAACTATAAAAAACATACGAAAAAACACTGCAAAGTTGCTGTTTTAATCGAAAAATCATGAATTCATTTTTTTTCTCTCATTATACACAGTATGCTGCAGGATCTGTTTTATGTGGTGCACACATACCACATAGATGTATTCTCTCATATCTAGGCCCAAATGTACCACTCACAGTTTATCAGAGTGAGCTGAGCTCATGGCGTAGATCTACGGTTTGGACCCTGAACGTAAAGCCGTAGATCTACGGGACGGACCCTGAAAGGGTTAATAAAGTTAGCCAACTTTACTTAAACAAGAAAGTTCATTGAACACCGGCAAAAATCAAACATTTCCACTACTTTGAGCTCAATTTCAAGGTATACTTTTTGTCATGAAACCAACCAAAATCATATCTATTTCTGTAATATATCTTCCATTCTATCAAATGAGATAAAAAAACGAGAATACAACCATAAAAAATGCACAAAAATATACCACTATGAGGCGGCTAATGGCTGAGAAGTGAACTCCATTATTTATGGTCCAATCTTTTCATTTTTGGTGTACGTTAAGAAGCATCTTTCCATCATACCTTCCCCAAGTTTCAATAAGATAGCCCAGATTTTTTTTTTTTTTTATTAACACACTGGCCGATTCCCACTAAGGCAGGGTGGCCCGAAAAAGAAAAACTTTCACTATCATTCACTCCATCACTGTCTTGCCAGAAGGGTGCTTTACACTACAGTTTTTAAACTGCAACATTAATTAACACCCCTCCTTCAGAGTGCAGGCACTGTACTTCCCATCTCCAGGACTCAAGTCCAGCCTGCCGGTTTCCCTGAATCCATTCATAAATGCTACTTTGCTCACACTCCAACAGCACGTCAAGTATTAAAAACCATTTGTCTTCATTCACTCCTATCAAACACGCTCACGCATGCCTGCTGGAAGTCCAAGCCTCTTGCACACAAAACCTCCTTTACCCCCTCCCTCCAACCTTTCCTAGGTCGACCCCTACCCCGCCTTCCTTCCACTACAGACTGATACACTCTTGAAGTCATTCTGTTTCGCTCCATTCTCTCTACATGT